CCCTGCCCATGGCAAGGGGTGGGACTGGATGGTCTGTAAGGTCCCTTCCAACCCAAACCATTCCATGATTCTGTGATTCCTCCATCCCTTGCCCTGTCCCCAGGAGGCTGCTCACGCTCTCCTGCCCCACGGTTAGTGGGGGTGGCGTTTCCTGCTCCGGCCTGTGCTGAACGCGGAGCAGCGCTCCCCGGTGTCAGTCCCTGCAGGGCAGGTCTGCAGCAGGGGCAGAGGAGACACGTCTCCCGTGAAGAAGCGACTTGCTTTCTCCGCAGGGCTCTGGGCCCTCCTCGGAGAGCGTCACTCTAATGAGTAACTCCTGTCCATATTTACCCACCCTCGGGGAGCCGCGCTGGGGCTCCGGCGTCCTCGACCCAAATGCGGGTTAAACAAAGTTCAGCTATGTGGGTTGTTTACCCTCTCACTAGCACTGCTAATGAGCAGCTCTGGGCTTCTCCTACCCTCAGCAGTGTTTCCCGCCGTGAAGAGAGCCTCCCTGTTCCTTTTCCTGAGAAGGAAAATAACGTGGCAGGTGGTTTGATGGAGAGGGAGAGCGCAGGATGATCTCTTTACCCACTGCAGTGGTAACAGATGATGAGTTGTGTTATCAGGATGCCCTTGAGGAGAGACACGGCCCATCTCTTGGTCACTCGGATAGCACCAGAGGAAGTTGCCAGCTCCCAGTGTCCCGTAGCTTGCGTCCTCCTGGGTGCCTTTTTAATACCATTGGCTGCTTGGAAGTGGCTGGGACTGTTGGATTACCAGCAGCTCCCTGCTCATTTGCAGGATGGGAGTGGGAGCTTTGCCTGCAGCAGTGTTGGTTCACCGGTCTTTCCTCTCCTGCAGGCCGCAGAGGGCAATGTGCTGATCAGCTCCTCTTCGGATCATTCCCTGACGGTGTGGAAGGAACTGGAGCAGAAACCTTTGCACCACTACAAATCCGCGTCTGAACCCATCCACGCGTTCGACCTCTACGGCAACGAAGTGGTCGCTGGCACCGCGGCCAACAAGATTGGCGTCTACTCCATGCTGGAGTCCTCGGCCCTGCCCAGCAGCACGACCAAGCTGAGCTCGGAGAACTTTCGGGGTACGCTGACCAGCCTGGCGGTGCTGCCCACGAAATGCCATCTCCTGCTGGGCTCGGACAACGGCGTCGTACGCCTCCTGGCATAGCGACCCACGTCCTGGGAGCCGCCGCCTGTCCCACAGCTCCGGTGAGAGCCGGCACCGTCGCTTACAGAGGGGGCAGAGTTAGAGTTTCTGAACAGAGGGTGCGGGGGGAGGTGTATTGTCAGTGAGCACTCGGTGAAGCATCTCTAAGCTCTTTCTGTATCTTTAAGAAGAAAAAAAGCCATAACTGAGAAACCTCCACTGCTGCTGGGAGAAATGCTGGGCGTTGTAGGTCACTGTCACCCCTGCAGAGGCCTGGAGCTTTCCATACCACGTGTGCCTGATTCCCCGGGGACTGTGAGCTGCCCTCCAGAGTAGCATGGACCACAGGTATCCTCCCTCCCCCAGTTCAGGGGTAAGAGGTGCCCCTCGACGGGACACGGCAGTGTAGCTACTCCTGTTTGCACTTACCCATCCCTTCCACTCCTGAGCCACTCAACAGTCTCACTAGGGTAGCGTAAGCTGGGCCTGGGAGCTGCCGCCGTCGGAGCGGTGTGTGCCGGCATCTCCTCCTGTCGTCGGTGTCCAGGGCCCAGAGGACGTAGCCTGTTAACTTCGGGTTCTGCCAGCTGAGTTAGAGCCGCTGTGGGAGGAGGAGAGGTTAACCGGAGCGCTTCTGCTGCCTTACTGGCTCCAGGGAAAGACAGGAATGGAAGTCAGCTATGGCACAACCCCCATCTGCTCTGCCAGTCCGGGAATGGGCTGCTGCAGAGGGACAGTTTGGGATGGGAACGTGACCCTCTAGGGTAGCCAGAACTAGATGCTTCCATGAGGATTTTGGCTTCTGGAGGAGTAGGGTAGGGACTGAGTGTTGCTGGTTCCTGCCCCCACAGCACTGCAAAGACAGGAATGGAAGTCAGCTATGGCACAACCCCCATCTGCTCTGCCAGTCCGGGAATGGGCTGCTGCAGAGGGACAGTTTGGGATGGGAACGTGACCCTCTAGGGTAGCCAGAACTAGATGCTTCCATGAGGATTTTGGCTTCTGGAGGAGTAGGGTAGGGACTGAGTGTTGCTGGTTCCTGCCCCCACAGCACTGCATCCCTCGATTACGCGGGGGC